ATGTAGTGAGGAGGTGAAATTATTAACAAGATAATCGACCTCTGTTGGAGCAGCGTTCAGATAGCTGCTCTGCTCTGTGTTGGTACAGGGCATTGAAGATGATAACAGTGGGTGGATTATATTCTTAAACTTAGTTACAGCGCTTTCAGAAAGACATCTACTGTGATAAAGTCTACTCTCCACCGCTGTGTAATCAATTATTGTAAAAGTAAATGTTATCAGGAAATGATCAGACAGGAGAGGGTTTTCAGGAAACACTGTTAAATGTTCAGTTTCTACGCCATATGTTAAAACAAGATCTAGAGTGTGATTAAAGTGGTGGGTGGGTTCTTTTACATTTTGAGAGAAACCAATTGAGTCTAATAACAGACTAAATGCCATGTTGAGGCTGTCATTTTTAGCATCTACATGGATGTTAAAATCACCCACAATGTCTTTGTGTGCTCGGTCGCCGTTCCCGGAAATGTAAAATAAAGATCATTTTTCGAATTTTGACCACTTTGAGCCCACTCTTTTTCGGCTGCCAAAAGAATGCAAAGGACTAAATTGAATACCCCCCTGCTCTGTGTCCAGGCCAACCTCCGAGTTCCTCCTCTAGGTTGACACCCTGAACTGTCCTACTCTGCTCAGGAGCTGGGCTGACTACCTCAGTTGTCATTTATTGTTTGTTGGCCTTTCCTGCTCCCTGTTTTTGGTCATGTTTATGGTTCTTTGTCACTGGGCCGGTGACCCTGTGTTTTATGTTATTATTAATCTTTGATTTCAACATGGTTTTTCACTGTTAGTGTTTTGGTTTCTGTTTTGTATTTCTAGCTCCCTAAGTTCTCTAGTATTTCTTGGGTTTTGTTCCTGTGCCCCTCATATTTAGTGTAGGTTTAGTTCTCTCCATGTTTATTTTCTTGTTCCACAGTCAGTCGTGTCTCATGTCACTCCTGTCCATGCGCTCCGTGTTCACTCTGTTCAGTCTCAAGTCCGTGCCTCTGTGCCTGTCCCATGTTTCCTGTTTTACTTTGATAGTCCCTTTTCTGTGTTCAGTGTTTTGAGTTTTGCTTTTCCCCTGTCTGGTTACGTCTGATTAGTCCCAGCTGTGTTTCCACTTGTTACCCACCCTCTCGTTATCCTACCTGTGTATTTTAGTCCTCAGTCTTCCCCTTCCTCTGCCCTGTTATACCCTCTCATTATACCCTGTGTGCTACTTTCCTGGTTTAACTTGGTAAACTCCTAGTCTCCAGCTTCTTCGTTCTTCCTTCTCTGTTTCCAAGTTTAGTCTCCTAGTTTCTAGTTATTATGTTCTGTTTCCTGTATTTTGACATACATTAAAAGCTGCCTCTTTTAGTTCATCCCTCTGTGTTCTGAGTCTTGCGTTTGGGTCCAATCTCCTGCTTGCCACACAATAAACATGACATTTTTGTTAAACTTGGTCTTGGTATCCTGCATTTCGAGTCCTCATCCCACACACTCCACATTATGAGATCCTAAATCTTAGTATTCAGGGGACAAAAGAGTAACAATTCTAACAGATACATAAATTATATAGACTGATGATCTATAATATAAATTTTTTGTACTGAAGGATGCAGGTACAGTTTAATGCTTTGAAGCTTCTGAAACCTATGTCATCACCAAGATAACATAGACTTCAGGAGCAAAACAGCGAGACATAGTAGTGACAGAATCCTTAAAGATATACGGAAGAAATGGCAATGAAAACAAAGTCAAGAATTGAGAATTGGAGAATAACTTCAGGTCTTCCTGACATTATCTTGTTCTCAGGTTTCATTGTTTTACCTGTTTACACACTTTATTCCACAGAGACAGAAAAGGAAAAAGCAGGGCTGCAAGCAGAAGTTAAGAGCGAGAACCAGAAAAAACTAAATCAATGGATGTTAAGACAAGAGGACATAAAGAGAGGGATGCAGCAGACAGGCACACTCTGATGATCCATCATGGCTGAACGCAATCCCAGCAGTGACAGGGTTTAGAACAGGACTCCCCGGAGTCTAGACACTGGTGTTGGTGAGGATGCAGCCTGAGGTTTGGATGGAGCTCTGAGGCGATATGGAGATGGGGAGAAGGTGGGCTGCATGAATGAGAGTCTAAAAGGGAGAATGGCAGAGAGCACAGATTTAAACCAATCAAGGTGGAGGCTGATTGGCTCAAAGAAGCCAGACAGGATGATGACTGTTCTAGAGTCATGATGCCAATGTGGAGATTGACTGTGTGGGAAAGTGGTAGTGATGCAGATGAGTGAGCTTCATAGATGAAAAATATTATTTGAAAAAATAAATGGGTAGCTTAAACAATGAGTTCTTGATCTCAGCTTGTCAGACACTGATCGTTGGTGTTTATATTTTAAGGCACTGGGAACGCTTTAAGGGTCACTTTTTAATATGCTGGGAAGTGTTCCACATCAGCATAATGCAGTTTCAGGAAGCATTATATGATGTGAAAGAGAGGCATGTTGTGCATTAAGATAGAACTTCATCTTTTTGCACACTGTCTAGAAAATTGTTTCCCAACAATAATTTTTTGTTGTTGACTTTTGGGGCCATATTAACAAACTTTCTAAAAGTCTAAGCTCTAAGTTAGTCCCAAACTTTTTACTCTGGTGACGCTGTATGAGTCGTTCTTTTAAAAGGTGTGAATATTTAATAAAAGTATATTATAGTGATGCTGGGTATAAAATGGGCAGTGTGTTATCAGCATTTCTCAGGCAAAAAAAATAGTGGAAGGACAAAACAGGAAAACTAGTCAACAACTTTTTCCTTCAAGTGAGAAAATTGGATATTTGCATTTTGCAGACTTGAGATAATTCACAATCATCTTTTTAAGAAAAGATTCCTCACTGAAGCATATTTTATGTATATTCTGGTGCTTAAACAAAAAGCTCTACAAAAATTCCCCAAAGTTTAAATGATGCCAAGTTAATAAAATACTAAGATGTTTTTGGTGCCTTTCATTAAAGATGCTTTTGTTGAAGCATACTCCTGTGTTAACACTAGACACATTAACCCTCTAAGTTTTCATCAGTGACAACCCAAACCGTAGGCCCAAACCCTAGTCCTAGGTTTTGGAGAAAAGCAAAAGCTCATCTTTTGAGAAAATGAAAATAATTTGTGTGCAAGTTGGAAGTTTTTTCTTATTATTTCAAGTTTTGACAGTCTTGTATGCAAACTAAAATCATGTATTCTGTTAGTATAAGTTTAGAGTTGGAGTCATCCTCAGTGATGACTTTGACCTCAGAGGGTTAACATTTTGGTGAGTTTAAAGTCATGATTTTATGTGACGTAATGCTATGGGAAAATATAACTTTAAGAAAATATTCTGCTGAGTCTTGTCAATCAGAAGATTAAAAAAATGTAACTGAAACACATGTTTTTCCTAAAAAGTCATTTTGGCTTGTCTCCAAAACATAAGGATTCCAGGCTAGAGTCGGGGCTGTGGCGATTTAGACCTCAGAGGGTTAAAAAAGGCTACTTTTACTAAATTAAAAAACTAAATTAAGTAAGTACATTTATAAACCATATGAATACCCATTTACACATACTAGCCTACTGTGTAAGTGGGTCTGTCATCTCAAATGTTTTGTATGCTGGATGTAAAAAAAACAATGGAGGTGGATGGAATTTTTATTTATTTATTTATTTATTTATTTATTTATTTATTTATTTATTTATTTTCAGAATTTTAAGGAAGAAAAGTCAGAGTTTTTTCTCTCAGAATTCTGACTTTTTTTTTCTTAGAATTTCAGAATTTTTATATTATTCTCAGAATTATCAGAAAAAAATCTGAATTCTGACAAAATAATTTCAGAAATCTGACATTCCCAGATTGGAGGAGAATTAGTTACACTGAAAAACAATGGGGGAGATCTTTTTTTCCCCAGAATTCCAGAAAATCATCGGAATTCTGAGATTAATGTCAGAAATTCTACAAAAAGGATTATGGCCACTATAAAAAAAACAAAAAACAAAAATGTGGGGGGCTTGGAATCTTTTTTTTTTTTTATAAAGACTGTGGTTTCAGTCACTTTTTGGTTTGGGTTAGACCCTTCCTTCCCACGTCCTATCACAATATTAAACAAATAAGGAGGTAAAATGTTTTCCCTTCTTCACTGACCACCTCCTGTGCAATAAAGATATTACTGCAGAGTATATCTGGCTGTGGTCTCAAATTTTGTATTTAGACTATCACGGGACTTCCGCTAGAGCAGGGCTGCCCAATCCCAGTCCTCGAGAGCTACTATCCTGCAGCTTTTAGATGCATCCCTACTCCAACACAGCTGAATCAAATGGTTTGATTACCTCTTCAGCATGCCATCATGTTTGGCAAAGGCCTGATAACAAGCCATTCATTTGATTCGGGTGTGTGGGAACAAGGATGCATCTAAAAGCTGCAGGACAGTAGTTCTCGAGGACCGGGATTGGGCACCCCTGCGCTAGAGTATATCATACTAATGTCTATATTTATTTAAGTCACTTCAGCAATTTTCCGATCGACTGCAGTTTCACTCATTTGATTAAAAGAACTTGGTTGGATACTGCTGTTTCATGCTTGGATCACTTTTTCACACAGATATTGAACACAGCACACCTGCAGTACTTAATACCACCACATCAGTGATGTATGATAACATACCAAAGTGCATATCTATGTACACAAATAAATCATAAGACCCAAAACATGTTAGACATACTTGCACAAATGCAGGAACTTTCAAAGTTTGATCTCACACACTTTAGTCACCTGAAGTATCATACTTCTGAGCAGGTACTTTGCAACTGAGAGCAAAAAAACCAGAGAAAGTTACATCTGATTTTGCATTTCCTTCAAAGCCTCTATTGGTGATCAGCCATAGTTGAACATGCCCATATCCCATGCACATAAAACAATATTATCTGTTGGTTATTTTAACCAAAGCAACAGTTTTGCTCAGGCATGTGTGCATGGAACATGTTCGGGGCCTAACATTTGCATGTTTGTGTGTTTTATGCTGTAAGGAGTGCTGCAGAAGTGACTGATGGCTCACAGTACTTTGTGCTGCTGATGATCACAGACGGCGTCATCTCAGACATGGCTCAGACTAAAGAGGCAGTTGTCAATGTGAGTATACATAGCACACTACACACAGAACATTTAATTGAATGTAGAGGCAGCACATCAGTGGGATCCACATCAACCCAAGACAGGTGATATGATGTGTAAAGTCTTGTATAATAGCATCTACTGTGATGAACGCAGCTATCAAGTCTGAAAAGTGTTTGTTAGTAAGAAAGTGCCTGCTTTTTCAGAAGTCCTTTAGATTTAAAATGGCCTGGCCTGTATTTGTATAGCGCTTTACTAGTCCCTAAGGACCCCAAAGCGCTTCACACATCCAGTCATCCACACATTCACACACTGGTGATGGTAAGCTACATTGTAGCCACAGCCACCCTGACAGAAGCTAGGCTGCCGGACACTGGTGCCACCGGGCCCTCGGACCACCCTCTGACCACCACCAGTAGGCAACGGGTGAAGTGTCTCGCCCAAGGACACAACGACCGAGACTGTCCAAGCCAGGGCTCGAACCGGCAACCTTCCGATTACAAGGCGAACTCCCAACTCTTGAGCCCGGCTCAATCGTGGCTCAAATATGAACAGAAATTTAAAAAAATGGGGGGGAAAAGAAGAGGAGGAAAAAGTCAAAAGTTGATTACCTCATGTAGACTTACCAGTCACAGCTGTAAGCGCTGACATAAACAAAGTCAGGCTTGCCTCAAATCACACTTGGAGGAGTACATGTGGAGTACCAGAGGCCTGAGAGCTTCAGGGTTCTGCACAGTATCTTTGCTGTTCCCAGGACTGCGCTCTTCTGGACAGAGATCTCGGATGTCATTCCTGAGATATGCTGGAGCCACTTGCCCAGGTCACTGCCTTGTTTACCACAAGCACCACTTTTGCCTTCACCCTCCATATCTTGAGCTCCTCTCTCAGCCTTTGGTATTTCTTGAGTTTCTGGTTTTCCTTCTTCTTCTTTTTGCTATCATTTGGTATAGATAGATCTATTACTACACCTGTCTTCCTCTGCTTGTCCACCACTTCTCTTTCCGGTTGGTTGGACATTACTAGTTTGTCCGTCTGTATTTGGAAGTCCCACGGGATCTTATTCGGTCATTCCCAACCATCCTGGGGCACATATCCCATTATCACTTCAGGACTTCCAGGCTATGCTCGGCACTGATGTTTTTGCTGTTATGTGCTGGATTGTCTCAGAGGCATCTTTACACAGCCTGCACCTGGGGTCTTACCTGGTGTGATAGACCCCAGCCTCTATGGACCTTGTGCTCAGAGCTTGTTCTTGTGCTGCTATGATTAGTGCCTCTGTGCTGTCTTTCAATCCAACTTTGTCCAACCACTGGTAGGACTTCTAGATGTCAGCCACTTCCTCTATCTGATCACACAGTTTTTTTTTATTGGTATGTGTATGTGTCTAAATTATTAGGGATCAACTAGGTAGTTAGTTTAACCATTGCCATGACTAGCATGCAATGTAGAGAATCTCAAAGTTGTACTGATCAATATTAAAACGAATAATAACGGAAATATGGAATGTAAGTATTCTCTGTGTTACCCCAGGCAGACTGGCTTTTTGTGAAGTTAATGGAAGAGAACAGATGGCTGGATGGATGGAAAATATTTTGATTTACACATACTGTGGTTAACTACCAAGTGTCTGATCGACAAAATGTGTTTGTATTGGACTTAAATTAGATGCTACTGCAGAAGTAAGAGAAACAGGCAGAGACAAAGACTGGTACTAATTCCATAATGTTCTGGAAAAAAAAAACCACAACTGAAGTTCAGTCAAACTGTATCAGGTAAAGCTAGCTTTTCACTGGTATGCCATTCTGTATATTGCTGCATTACTGTGTAAAACTGTCTTTCAAGGAGTGGGGGAACTGTAATCTGTCTCGTATTCATTCTATGCTCCTTCCACAGGCAGCCTCTCTGCCAATGTCTGTCATCATAGTAGGAGTGGGCCCTGCTGAGTTTGATGGTAAGTACTTGTGTGTGACATGGAAGAGGGGATGTGCTGAGTACTTTCACGCTGACAGATACATGTCAGAGACGTCATTATTTGTTTCACAAATACAATCGAGCATCTGTTTCTTTGCTGTGCTCCATTATGTAGCACTGTTAAAACCAACTGTTAAAACCAACCTTGCAGGAGCAAAGAACATTCCAGCCTATATAGTTTGTATTCCAGGGCACAAACCTCATTGGTTCCTACTTACAGTATATGTCTGTAATATCATTCAGTTCTCCACATGGTTTAATCATTTAAAATGGAGCTGTAGTAACCCACAGAAAATGTCAGCCTCAGTACATCCAAGGAGATAAAAATGTCCCAGTGGAAAACCCAACCTATTTAAAATGAATACCAAATACAAACCGGCATGAAAAGTCAAATGGCTCCAGGACATTACAAGAAATAATTAAATTTGGGCTCTTGAGAGAAAAAAAAATTACAGACATGTGGTTCCAAACGAGATCAGAGATTTTCCTTATTTCCTCCTTTTCCTCCTGTTCCTCATGTTCTTAAATGTTTTTGGTTAATCACGGCGGAGCATTTCCTGAAGAAAATGTCCTGTGACTGCTGTAAAGCTGACTGAAGCAAATAGAAATGTGTATGTATGTATGTATGTGTGTGTGTGTGTGTGTGTGTGTGTGTGTGTGTGTGTGTGTGTGTGTGTGTGTGTGTGTGTGTGTGCTTCACAGAGCAGGTTCACATTTTTTATTTTTGGTCTTGGACAAAGCCTCACAGACATCCATCCAGAACTTTTGTATTTTGGGACAGGACCAAAACAAGGTGGCCTCTGCCAATTTACATCTTTCGCACGTTGGGTCAATCAGAGGATACATCTTTGCCAATTTCGATTTGCTGAGATGGACCCTATGCACTATTTTAAACTGCAGAAGGCAATGTCTTGCACACATGGAGGACGAGTGAATATTACTTAAAACATTGCCCCAGTCTGCTTCAGCAGGATCGCTTAATTGCAGACATAGAAGAAGAACCCAGGCGCAAAATCAGAACAAGTATTGATGATATGGCCTTTTTCTTAGCTGGGTTAAAACACATAATGTCATCCATTACATCATTAGGGGTTTATTTGGGAACCCTGGGATAGAGCCTGAAAGAAAGTGTCGTATTTGTAGATACCTAAAAAAACGAGAGGGGGGTAAGTTGTATTTATTAGTCAGCTGTTCAAATAAGGCAAACGATCTTTTAAAGATCTCAGCCCTCGCCTCTGCTAGCCCTGAAATGTGGCATCAGACATTGAAGGGGAAAAAACATAGTTGGAAGCTACTGGGCTGCCTAAGCACATCTTCAGAAGATTAAAATGTTTTCTAAACTGAAAGCAAATCTGGATAATATTATTAACTACAGGATTCTCAATTGTCAGGCTTTTGGGTAACGGGATAGATGCACCTACGACAGACAATAGCAAGAAAGAACCAGAAGAGAGCTTCTCCATTTCTACCCATACGGGTCCGCTGCAATCGTGCTGATAGTGCAGCCAGTAGGTCAGACAGCGTAACAGCACAGTAATAATAACAGAAATTCGGTAGAGCCAGGCCTCCGTCTTGCTTTGACTTTTGCAGATGTGTTTTATGCAAACGTGGTTTCTTATTGTTCCAAAGGTATGATGTAATTGCAGAGTCCAATTTCTTAAAATAAGCATTCGGAATGTATATAGGGAGGCTTTGAAACAGATAAAGATATCTGGGTAATACAGACATTTTAACTACATTCACTCTCCCAACTAACGAGAGAGGAAGCGGCGACCATTTTGACAAGTCTTGTTGCATACTGAGGTGTAACTTAGTAAAAATTTCTTTAAAGAGATCACTGAGGTTTTTCGTCACAGTTATGTCTAGATAGACAAAACTGTGCGTTGCAATCTTGAAGGGAACAGTAATGTTTGCTAATGTGGAAAGAGGCATATTTAGAGGCAGTAATTCACTCTTGTGTAGATTCAATTTATAGCCTGACACAAGCCCAAATGTATCAAAAAGTTCAAGAATGTAGGGAATTGTTACCTCAGCCTTGGACACAAACAGCAGGAGATCATCGGCATAGAGAGATTTTTAGTTTTTGCTCAGTGCCATATCGCGAAATGCCTTGAATAACATGACTACTTCATATAGCTATTGCCAACGGCTCAATAGCTAATACAAAAAGGAGGGGGCTGAGGGGGAAACTTCCAAACCCAAATCTTTGCAAGGCCTCAAATAGATATTCCCATTCTACTCGATCGAAAGCCTTCTCCGCATCCATGGAGAGAAGGCATTCGGAAGCAGCTTGGCTGGGGGTGTACATTATATTAAGTAGTCGACGAATACTAAAAAAGGAGTGCCTGTTTTAATAAAACCAGTCTGATCTGAAGAGATTATGTTGGGTAAAACTTTTTCCAATCGGTTGGCCAAAACCTTCGCTAGTATTTTATAGTCTGAATTCAGGAGTGAAATCGGCCTGTAGGATCCACATTCCAAAGGGTTTTTATCTTTTTTGGGAAGATACAGGCTTATACAGGCTTGATTTAGGCTATCAGGCAAAACACCTTTCAATTCTTTATTTATTTGTCACATGTAGTTATAACTAGTACAACACACAGTGAAATATTTTTTCCGGCTAAAAAGTACTCCCCCCCCGACTGTGCATCTTACTAAACTTATAATAAAAAATATCTATATAAAAGTATAAAAATGTATAATATCGTGCAAAATATTACGCTGTAATAGTTAAGAGCTATAGTGTACGTATTTACATAAATACAGATGTATATGATAAAATACAAATAAAAATAAGGATAAAACTCAAAGGAAAATTATATACTGTGTATGGAATTGTCCATCATGTTGTCCGATTTGTGTTTTGATTGAGGAGTCTCACTGTTTGTGGGTAAAAACTCCTCCTGAACCTTTCAGTTCTTGTTTTCAGGCTACAGAGGCGTTTCCCTGACCTCAGTGGCCTGAACAGTTTGTAAGCGGGATGGCTGGAGTCGTTAGTGATCCTGATGGCCCGTGATCTGCACCTATCAGCGTAGATGTCCTGCAGTGTTGGTAAAGATGTTCCCATAGTGCGTTCAGCTGTGCGCACGACCCTCTGCAGGGCTTTCTGTTGCTGTACTGTGCAGTTCCCGTACCACACCGTGATGTTATTACACAGGATGCTCTCAATGACCCTGGTGTAGAATCTCCTCTGGATGTTCTTGGAGATCTTAAACCTCTTTAAACGCCTCAGATGATAGAGGCGCTGTCTGCCTTTGCTGATGAGGAAGTCCGTATGTGTGTTCCAATTAAGGTCCTCTTTGATATAAACACCGAGGTATTTAAAATTAGAGACTTTCTCCACAGGGTTTCCATTGATCTGAATTGGGGTGTGAGTTTTCTCGCCTCTCTGTCTCCTAAAATCAATCACCATCTCCTTTGTTTTGCTGATATTCATGGAGAGGTGGTTTGCCACACACCACTTTGCTAATCCGTCCACCTCGCTTCGGTAGGCCCTCTCGTCATTCCCGGAGATGAGTCCTACCACCACTGTGTCGTCAGCGAACTTCACAATGGAGTTAGTGGGGTATCTGGCCGTGCAGTCCGCGGTGTAGAGGGAATAAAGAAGAGGGCTAAGCACACATCCCTGGGGGGCCCCTATGTTCAGTGAAAGGGTATGAGAGTACACATCCCCTATTCTCACCGACTGTGGTCTCGCAGTCAAAAAGCTGTGAATCCACCTGCACAAGGATGTGCTGAATCCCAGATCCCGGAGCTTATCCGTAAGGATGTGGGGCACTATGGTGTTGAACGCTGAGCTGTAGTCTATAAACAGCATTCTCACATAGTTCCCACGTCCCTCATCTAGATGGCTCAGTGTGGTGTGCAGGACCTGTGCTACAGCATCTCCAGTGGATCTATTTGTCCGGTATGCAAACTGCAATGAGTCCAAGTCGGGAGGGAGGAAAGAACTAATAAAGGGTTTCATGAGCCTTTCAAAACATTTCATCACTACAGATGTTAGGGCCACTGGGCAATAATCATTTAGGCTGGCTGGGCGGGTGTTCTTAGGGATCGGAACAGTCACTGATGTTTTAAAGCAGGTGGGGACTACCTGCTGGGCCAGGGAGGCATTGAAGATGCTGGTGAAAACTGTGGTCAGCTGATCTGCACATACTCTTAGCACACGTCCCGGTATGCTATCTGGTCCCGCTGCCTTCCTGCAGTTTGTTGCCCTCAGAGCTCTCCTCACGTCATGCTCAGAGAGTATCAGTGGTGCTGGTTCAGCAGCGGGGGCGGGTGCAGGGCTCTGAGATTGAAACTGAGGCGCCTCAAAACGCGCAAAAAAAGCATTGAGTTCGTCAGCTAATTCCGGTTTCGTACATCTCACAGTGCTGGGTTTATAATCTGTGATTGTTCGTAGCCCGCCCCATATACGTCGGGAGTCGCCATATTGGAAATGCGACTCCACCTTTGGCAAGAGAGTCAGTATATAACGTCGCTAACACAGGGGCTAGTTTTCCAGCAAAGGCGGCATAAAACTCATTCGGTAAGCCATCAGGGCCTGGTGATCGGTGAGACTGTAATGATTTTATTGCTGTTATGCTCTCCTGCTGCTGCAGAGGTGCATCCACGGTGGAAACCTCGTCTGGGGACAATGTTGGAATCTTTAGGTCTCTAAAAGAATCAGAGAGGAGGTTAGAATCATTGGTATTATCGGAGCTACACAACTTATAATAATAATGCTGATAAGCATCATTTATCCCCTGTTGATCTGTAACAGTTCCACCATCTTGGGTTGCGACCCCATTAATAGTTTGCCTGGCTCTTACACATTTCAACTGTCTTGCTAGAATCTCTCCCGCCTTATCTCCGTGCTCATAGGTATCACTGCGGTTCTTTAACAATAAATATTCTATAGAATGTGAGGCGAGCACATCATATTCTGCACCCAGTTTCAAACGTTCTTTATATAAATTTGGTGAGGGGTTCTGAGAATTC